AAAACGTATCATAGTTTGAAATTATCTTAAAATAATTATTCATATATATTCATTTTCTTTATCTTTGTATTTACATTTATGCTAATCATTGTAACAATTGTTCTTTTTCTCTCATTGTATCAGATATTGCCTATCGTATTTTCTTGGTTTTGTTTTTTGATGTAATCATGCATAATCTTCACAATTGTATTGATACTTATTTAGAATATCTGATCCCCTATCTAACATTTAATATAAATACTTCTGCTGCTTATGCAAAAATATCTTATCTACGCTGCAAATAAACTTATATACACAACAACGCATTAAAAATGTAACATCTGAAAGCACTCCTTCTACGAGAAAGAGCCGAGCGAGTCTGTCGACGAGTGTTACTTGTAGACATATATTCCAATAAATTTTTGACTATTCCTTTAGATAAGCCTTCGACAATTTTAACGTAGCTACTTCAACTCAAAATCTTTATCTATTATTACATCTCGAAGACAGTATAATCAAACAAAAGACAAATAATATAGAGCATATTGACGTTAAGCATCGTAAACGATATTTATTATAAAAGATGAGAGTATTTTTTATAGCGATAAATCAATGAAAAGAGAATCTATACCAGATGAAGTCAAATTCTGAAACTGATCACAAATTGTCAATAAATTCTCTTTTTTTTCAAAGCTATCCCAAAAAATCCTAAATTTACAAAAAAATGAAATAAATCTCGAAAAAAATCAATCCCAATAAATCCAGAAATTCATCGATAAAATGCAATAATTCTCATAGAACAAATAAATGTTAGTATTTATTTAAAAAGCCCGAATAAATCTCGAAAAAAGAAGTTCTACAAGCTGCTGAAGAAGAAAAGTAAAGAGAACAACGCATTTAGAGAGAATTGTACGTAAGAGAACAATCGCTACACATATCAGTGATGAAGAAGATGAAAAAAAGAATAAGAGAGAAAAGCAAATAAAAGTGACAAATAATGACACACAACTGAAAGAAGAGAGAAACAATGATTGAATTCTGTACTGATAGCATAATAGTGTTTTCAAAGAATCGATGATTAAGTATTTTAATACGTTGCAAATCTTGGACTAATCAAAAACGTTACACTCCAATCATCATTATCCAAATACTTCTGCACCACTCAATATGATACTATTATCAAGGGTTCCACCAGCAACTAAGACATTTCCGTTTGTCAATATGGATGCTGTGTGATCATATCGTGAAGTGTTCATGAAGCCATTAAATGTCCAGAGTCCTGTGGATGGATTATACATTTCTGCACTGCTTAATGCGGTGTTCCCATCAGCGGTTCCACCAGTAACTAAGACATTTCCATTTGTCAACATGGATGCTGTGTGATATTCTCGTGCAGTGCTCATGGTGCCAGTAGTTGTCCAGAAACCTGTAGATGGATTGTACATTTCTGCACTACTCAATATGCCATTATTACTGAGCCCACCAGCAACTAAGACATTTCCGTTTGTCAACATGGATACTGTGTGATGAAATCGCGCCGTGTTTATGTTGCTAGTAATTGTCCAGAAACCTGTAGATGGATTGTA